TTTCCTTGTTCGGATGTCATGTACTTTGAATTATACCATATGCAGTTTCTTTAGATTGGCTTCTTTCACTTACTGTTATGCACTTACGGATCTTCTCTGTATTTTCATGGCTTGTAGTGTGTGTGCTCTCCTTAAGTGCTGAGGTTATCTGTTGTCTGCATGTATTACAGTTCATTTATCTAACCTCCTTGTGAAGCAACATCTTGCCAATATGGCTAGGGTTGTCATAAGCATCAAAAGTTTTCAATTTGTTTGGATAAAGATCAAGGTATGTTGTACAGTAAATGCATTTTCAGTTTCTTTGGTACTGAGATTTGAACTCAAGAGTTCATACTCAGTCTAAGCATGTTTATTTTTATTTTTTAAAAAACTGTCAAGCTAGGGCTGGGAAGGTGGCTCAGTGGTAGAGCGCTTACCTTGCATGCCTGAGGCCCTGGGTTCGATTCCTCAGCACCACATAAGCAAAAAGAAAAAAGCTGGAAGTGGCGCTGTGGCTCAAGTGGTAGAGCGCTAGCCTTGAGCTAAAGAGCTGAGGGACAGCGCCCAGGCCCAGAGTTCCGGTCCCACAACTGGACCCCCCCCAAAAAAAAACAAAAACTACCAAGCTAAACTGGACACTGGCTCAGGCCTGTAATCCTAGCTACTTAGGAGACAGAGATTGAGGAATCATGGTTTACCTTCAGCTCAGGCATAAAAGTTTTCAAGATCCCATCTCAACTGGACATGGTGATGTACATCTGTTATCCCAGCCACAGGGGAAGCACAATGGCTGGGTGCAGTGGTATGTGTCTGTCATCCACAGCGACATCACAGTAGGGGAGTTGCAGCCTAGACTGGCGGGGCATCAATCCAGACCCTATCTTGAAAATAATCAATGCAAAATCGACTGGGACCATGGCTTAAGTGATAGAGCACCTGTTTAGCAAACTGGAAGCTCTGAGTTCAATCCTCAGTACTATCTTCCTCCCCACCCCCCCAAAAAAAACAACCCTGCCAAACTACTGAAGTAGATTCTTGTTTACAACCTTGCCATATTTTGCTTAATACTCCTTTTTCAGCTATGTTTTTTCCCAGACTATAGCTCATTTCTTATTTTTTGACACTCTTTTAAAGAACAGAAGTTTTTAATTTTACCAAAGTCAGGCTTACTAATATTTCTTTCATAGACTTTACCTTTGGTGTCATATTTAAAAACATGCCATACACAAGGCTATCTAGATCTAATATTATTTTACCTTGTAGGACCTTCTGTAGTTTTATATTTTCCATTTAGGTCTGAATTCATTTTTGTGAAAGGTGTAAGGTCTCTGTGCAGATGTATTTTTGTTTATATCAGCTTGTGAAAAGAAATTTTTTTCTATTGTAGTGCTTCTTTGCCAAAGGTTGGTTGTTTATAGGCATGAGGGTCTTTTTCTCATTGATCTATGTTTCATGCAGAATTTTAAAAAAGGAGTTGTTGTGTATGATAGAAATGAATAAGAGGCCATCTAGATTGTAGGTAATAGTTCTATTTCAGTGCTTAAAAATAAAAAGTCCGTAATACTCTAGAGACATTTTAAGTGAAATTTAGCATAATAATAATGCTAGCAAAATTATTCTAAAGGGTCTTATCCAATTACACATAGGTCTCAGAAAAACTTGATCTTTTTTTTTTTTTTTTGGTCATGGGGCTTGACCTCTGGGCCTGGGCACTGTCCACGAGCTCTTCAGCTCAAGTCAAGCACTCTACCACTTGAGCCACAGCGCCACTTCCAGTTTTCTGGTGGTTAATTGAAGTTCAGTCTCATGGACTTTCCTGCTTTGAACCACGGTCCTCAGCTCTCAGACTCCTGAGTAGCTAGGATTACAGGTGTGATCCACCGGCACCCAGCAACCCTTTTCTTAAATATTTGCCATATTTACTTTAGACATGCATATCCTTCCCATTAAGATATAGTAACATCAGAATAGTTACTTGTTTTATACATAAAGATAAGCTAACATATGTTGTAGAGCTAGAAATTCTACCATGTGTACATTTTGCACTAATTTCTAATTGTATAAACAAATCTGAGGGCAGTATAAAGTAGTATTTCCTGATAAAAATCTGACATATACCTTAAATTATCATTTTCTCAAGAAGGTGGTAGGAAAAGTAAAGGATAATTGTTCTGTGGTTTTACAGTATAAAATGAGATTATTCAAGTTACCAGAAAATGGTTAGTTGCTTGACTGATTTAGTTGGATAATGAATGAATAATTAAATAGTAAATACTCTTTTGACCTTGTCTCCAAAAGTATTTAAGATCCCCTGAGGTTTTCAGTTTTTCACAGCCTCATGCAGCCTGTGGTCATTATTGGAAAAGGATTACTTCTTACTGGCTATATATGTGTATCTTTCCTAGTAGATAATGTGGTATTATTAGCTTTTTGTTGTTGTTGTTCACAAGGTTGAACCTGTAGACTTGTAATTGCCAGGTCAACACCCAACCACTTGAGCCACAAACAACCCTTTTTTGTTTTAGTTTTTAGATAGTATCTTATGCTTTTTACATAAGCCAGTCTTTGACCATAATCATCCTGTTCTCTACCTTCTGAGTAGCTGGGATTATAGGTGTTAGTCACCAAATCCTCCCGTCTACTCCCCAAAAAAGATTCTTACATCATTTCTACTCCTGTTTTCTAGGAGAAATGCCTTTTTGCCAGTTATCAGCCTGATCCCTTCTAAACCTAAGGTGCCTTTATCTGCTGACTTGCCTCTTTAGATCACACACAAAAATGGCTTGATTTATTCCAGGGAAAATGTATAAGATATTAAGCAAGAATATGGGCTTTAGGGTCTGACTTCTTGGGTTAAAATCTTAACTGTCTTCCGGTTTCTTACCTTGGGCATATCACTTAAGTATTCTATGCTTTAGTTTCCCCTGTTTAAAATGTAGGAACTAAGAGAAACTTGTTTCATGGGAGATAAATGAGTGTGTGTGTTAATTTGGAAAAGTATCTGTAGCTGGCAAGTATTGCAGGAATGTTAGCTATACTTATTGAGTGTTTGACACAGGTAATATCTGATTGCCTTGTGAACAAGATGTAACCTTTACCCTTTATATTCAGAATATGTTTCCTGGGCTTAGGCTCTGTTAACATTTTTCCACATTCATTTCAACTTGGCATCTTTTATTTCATTTTGTAGTTGAAGTCAAGTGATTTTGCAGTCCTGAAGCAGTTGCTCCCTCTGTTGGAGAAGGTTTCCAACACATACCCTGACCCTGTCATCCAGGAACTCGCTACTGATCTCCGTATCACCATTTCTACCCATGGAGCCTTTGCCACTGAGTCTGTCAGTGTGGCCGCCCAAAGTACCCTGAAAAGAAAAGATCCAGAAGGGAAAATAGAAAAGCAGCAACAAACCAGTCATGACAGACACACAGGGGTAGCTCAGAGCCACCTGGAACAACAGCAAAACCGTGAGAAATCCTTGCAAATGGGCCAGGAGTATAACATTCCTTTCATTCCTAAAGACGACAGCGAGCCCAGCACTATCACAAATAAGAAATCAGGAAGTATCACCACAGAACAGCTCCAAGAGGTTCTTTTGTCTGCTTATGACCCTCAGATCCCAACTCGAGCTGCTGCCCTACGAACACTTTCCCAATGGATAGAGCAAAGAGAAGCAAAAGCCCTTGAGAGGCAAGAGAGGCTTCTCCAGGTGAGTAGAATACTACAAAGACCTGGGGCACAGCGAGGGCCCTGTCCAAGAGCATGCATTCAATTCAAGTGGCTTTGGGTCACTTACAGAGTATGAAGCACTGTTCTGGATTATCCTCCAGGAAGTTTTCCATTCTTTCCTTTTTTCATTTTGTGATACTGGAGTTTGAACTCTAGGCTTTATGCTTGCCTCTTTTTGTATTATTTCGAAGTAGCATCTTACTTTATGCCCAGACTGGCCTGTAATCCTATTTGTGCTTCTACCGTAGCTGGGATGACAAATATGGGCCACCACACCAGCCATTAGTTGAGATAGTCTCCCAAACTTTTATGCCCGGGTTGGACTTGAACTGTGATTCTTCAGTCTCTGCCTCCCAAGTAGGTAGGCATGATCCATAGCATCCAGCTTCCTACAGGAACTTGTAACTGGTGTGAGGAAACAAGACTTAGTCATAGCAAGCTGGTCACCAATGGCTCACACCTGTCATCCCAGCACTCAGGAGGCTGAGATCTGAGAATCACAGTTTGAAGCCAGCCAGGGCAAGAAAGTCCATGAGACTTTTTATTTAATGAACCATTCAAAAACTGGAAGTGGAGCTGTGGCTCAAAGTGGTAGAGCTCTAGGCTTGAGCAAAAGAGCTCAAGGACAGTGCCCAGTCCCTGAGTTCAAGCCATACACACAACAACAATAACAAAAAAAAAAGAAAGACTTAAGCATAGTAAAGACTTGGAAGAGCCGGGCGCCGGTGGCTCACGCCTGTAATCCTAGCTACTCAGGAGGCTGAGATCTGAGGATTGCGGTTCAAAGCCAGCCCAGGAAGGAAAGACCGTGAGACTCCTATCTCCAATAAACCACTAGAAAACCGGAAGTGGCGCTGTAGCTCAAGTGGTAGAGCGCTCGCCTTGAGCTGAAGAGCTGAGGGACAGCGCCCAGGCCCAGAGTTCAAGCCCCATGACCGACAAAAAAAAAAAAAAAAGACTTGGAAGACAGGGCTAATCCATTGAACATGAACTGAGTCCATATAGGCAAGAAATACTGCAGAGAAACAGTGTTGCAGTCTTCTAGGGTATGTAAATCTTGGTATGACCTTTACAAACTGGTAAAGTCTGAGCATCTGAAAGAAAGAGCAACAGTAGCAAATTCCCAGATATGGGAAGGTATCAATCCTAGGGAAGTCACCTGTCTTTCTTGGCCCCTTGTAGAAAAGCATTGAGCAAGACTGGATCTCCTATCCAGGCGCTGGTGGCTCACGCCTATAATCCTAGCTACTCAGGAGGCTGAGATCTGAGGATCGTGGTTCAAAGCCAGCCCGGGCAGGAAAGACCGTGTGACTCCTATCTCCAATAAAAACCACCAGAAAACCGGAAGTGGCGCTGTAGCTCAAGTGGTAGAGCGCTCGCCTTGAGCTGAAGAGCTGAGGGATAGCACTCAGGCCCAGAGTTCAAGCCCCACAACCGACAAAAAAAAAAAAAAGACTGGATCTCCTCCATCACAGAGAAAATGCTGTAAATTCTAGAATTACACAACAGAACAATAATGCTTAGTGAGGATCTTTTTTCTCTGCCTCAGTATGGGTTAGACATTAAGAGCAAGGATCTTGAAACAACTGATGGGGAACCAATCCCAGGTCAGCTTCTTAGACAACTCACTTAAACACTTGAGACTTCAGGACAGTGCTGATCTATTCCATATGCCCTAGCCATTAGACTAAAAATTATAATTCTAATTGAAAAAATGTTATTATTATTAATTGTATAGTAATAATAACAATGTCTATTGAACCAGGTCATATGCCTTACAGACCTTGTTTATAATCTTATAGACATTGTTTATAATCTTCATACAATTATAATTTTGGTAGCATCCCATTTTTTTAAATGAGAAAAACAAAGACAAATATGCTGAGGATTTTCTGACTCTGAAATATTGCTGCAAACTTAAATGCATGTTTTCGTAGTAAAAATAACCTTGACTAGCTGAGCAGTGGTGGCTCACGTCAGTGATCCTAACTGCTCAGGAGGCTGAGATCTGAGGATCATGGTTCAAAGCCAGCCCAGGCAGGAAAGTACATTTGAGCCACACTTCTAGCCTTGGCTTTTTGCTGGTTAATAGGAGATAAAAGTCTTGAGAGTTTGCCTAGACTGGCTTTGAACCTTGATCATTAGATCTTAGCCTTCTGACCAGCTAGGAAGGATTATAGACGTGAGCCACCAACACCTAGCTTTATAGTTAATCTTTACTTTGATCAAAAGGGTTTTGGAAACCAGGTACCAGTGGCTCATGCCTGTAATCCCAGCTACTCAGGAGGGTCAGATCTGAGATCGCAGTTGGAAGCCAGCCTGAGCAAAGAAAGTCCATGAGACTTATCTTCAATTAACCTCCAGAAAACCAGAAGTAGTGCTGTGGCTAAAAGTGGTAGAGCACCAGCCTTGAGTAATAAAGATCAGGGACAGAGCCCAGGCCCTGAGTTTAAGCTCCACAGCCAATAACAACAAAAAAATCACTGACTATACCTGAGCTGCTGAATGCTATGAATATATTTGTAATTTTCTTTAACTTTACTTAACATTGATCTGCTATACATAATCAATCACTGAGTACTGTCAATTCTTTTTTCTAAGAAGTCATTCAAATATATCTTATTCTTTATTTCCCTGGCTGCTATCCTAGATTAAGTTTTTCTTACTCCCTACACATTCCAGCCTGACCATCTTCCCAAATTGCCTAATCTTAGACTCTCCCTAACACACATAAGATGCAGAGACAGCAATGTTATAAAACATGACTATGCAAAAGAGACATGGCACTCTACATGGAGCAGATACTCTTGTCTTTCCTTAGACATCAAGGAGAAGGAACATGGCCAATCTTTCCTTGGCTCTTAGATTCAGAACCTAGCATGCCACCATAACAGCATCTTCTAGATAATCTATAACCACTGCGGTTGACACCCTAGGGAATTCCTGATTTACAAGATGTATTCTGAGTCATGTATTACTGATGTCAATTGAAAGACTATAATGTGAAAGATTTGTTAAAAAAAATAAAGTAAATGGATTCAAAGTTATTTCAATAATAACATCTCTATCTCACCTGCAATTGCCTATGCTTTGTTAGTGCACGAAAACAGGATCAGATTGTGCTGCCAATTGCACAGAACCCCTACACATTACCTCTTGTGTCACATTCTGTAGTTTGTCACATCATATATGAGAATGTGGTCATTTGGATGACAGAAAAATGTTGAGAATTATTCTTCCTGATACTGATTTCCATGACTACTGCTAGTAAATACTTGACTACTCCAAGAAGTATCTCTTCCTACTTCTCCACTTTTTAACTGTTATAAAAATTAGACCTCAAAGCACATAGACTATTTTCTTGGCTAGATTCTAAGCCAGACCAGCTCTTAGTTATTACAAGTAGAAAAGCTTTTACTCTTTTGAGGCTACAAGTAAAGGGGTCCTTTGTGATTCATATTGCTCCGTGTTTGTGGTTCTAGATATTCTTGGAGAACTTGGAACATGAGGACACTTTTGTGTATCTATCTGCAATTCAGGGTAAGTTAGTCCTGGTTAAAGGACTTTGAATCTGTGGAATTTTTTGGTAATAATTTTAGTTTTTGGGGGATTCTTTGTTATTCTCTAAGTCTCCATTACTTCGTGGGTTCTAAATCTAGAGAGAGTATAGAAAATTAGGTAACCTTCATAACAGGATAGGAGATAGACATAGGAGATAGGAGGAACTCAGTTTCCCCAGGTGCTGTCAAGAACTGGGGCTCTAAAGGCCATCAACCAGCCTTTCAGTCACCATCTTCTCAGCTGGATGGACTTAAGACTTTAATTTCGGCTGAGTGCTGGTGGCTCATACCTGTCATCCTAGCTACTCAGGAGGCAGAGATCTGAGGATTACGGTTCGAAGCCAGCTGGGGCAGGAAAGTCCATGAGACTTTTGTCTCCAATAAAGTACTCAAAAAAGCCACAAGTGATGCTGTGGTTCAAGTGATAGAATGCTAGCCTCGAGCAAAAGAAGGTCAGGGACAGTGCCCAGGCCCAGAGTTCAATCCACAGGACCAGCCAAAAAAAAAAGTCTCACGGTCTCAATTGCCCATGTATGTATGAAAAGGTTTCAGTTCTATAAGATAGTTACTTTTGGGGCTGGGAAGGTGGCTCAGTGGTAGAGCGCTTGTCTTGCATGCCTGAGGCCCTGGGTTCAATTCCTCAGCACCACATAAGCAAAAAGAAAAAAAGCCAGAAGTGGCGCTGTGGCTTAAGTGGTAGAGCGCTAGCCTTGAGCTGAAGAGCTGAGGGACAGCGCCCAGGCCCAGAGTTCAGGCCCCATGACCGGACCCAAAAAATAGAAATTAAAAAAAAAAAAAGAAAAGCCTATTAAAAGAAAAAAAGGGCTGGGAAGGTGGCTCAGTGGTAGAGTGCTTGCCTTGCATGCATGAGGCCCTGGGTTCAATTCCTCAGCACCACATAAGCAAAAAGAAAAAAGCCAGAAGAGGTGGCTCAGTGGTAGAGTGCTTGCCTTGCATGCATGAGGCCCTGGGTTCAATTCCTCAGCACCACATAAGCAAAAAGAAAAAAGCCAGAAGTGGCGCCGTGGATCAAGTGGTAGAGTGCTAGCCTTGAGCTGAAGAGCTGAGGGACAGCGCCCAGGCCCAGAGTTCAGGCCCCATGACCGGACCCAAAGAAAAAAAATATATAGTTACTTTTTGTTGGATTGCTGGTGGTAATATGCATAACTTTTTAGATTTAAATCTTTTTTTTTTCTGGTATCATAGCTTGAACACAGAGCATTGTGGCTAGAGCATTACTACTTGAGCCACACCAGCAGCCATGCTTTTTACTGGTTATTTGGGAGATGGAGACTCTTGGACTTGATTCTCCTCCAGAATAACTAGGATTACACTTGTGAGCGACTGGTGCCTGGTTTCAGATTTAAATTTTAAGTAGGCTGATGTTATCAGTTATTGCTACTTAAGTTACTCAAGCATTCTATGGCTTAAAACACAGATCATTTATTATTATAGCATTTTTGCATCTACAAACCAGTTGAGGTTCAGCAGATATAGGCTGGGCTTGACTGGGAAGCTCTGCTTCTCCCTGCAGGTCTTGGGGCTGGCTCTATGCATACATTCTTGATTGTGCTTGGTCAGTAATCTTCCAGGCCTGTTCATGGAGATGATGTTGGAAGTGGTAGAGAGCAAGCAAAAAAATCAAGAGGCCTCTTTAGACCTAAGCTTCAAATAACATCCTGTCATTTCTGCCTCATTCTGTTGGCCAAAGTAAGTCATGTAGTCCAGCTTGTAAGTTAAAAAATACACTCTGTTCCTGTAGTGGAATAAACTGCCAAGACCTATAGCACAGTCTGTGGATGTAGAGAGTGCAGAATTCATACTAGTTCACACTGTGTGTTCTGTTTACTTTCCAAAAGCAAGGCTCACAGAGAACACCGAAGTGGGAACAGGTTCTAACAGGCTTATTATTTCTGGATGCAATTTGGGTTTGTTGTATACAGACTATTTGAAGCTTAAGAGATAATGCAGAGAGGAAAACATACAGTGATGAAGGCCTGAGCCTAGGAATTCTTTCTTTACTCAACAAACATGTTGTGTACCTATTATATACAAAACACTTTAGATTAACTGTGAGTTGTGTTGAGATTGAAAGGTAAAACAAATCCTTCAAAGGAAACAAAATGACCACCCAAGGAGGTAAAAAGACAAGTTATGTGAAATCAGGCAAGATGGGGAACTTTTTTCTGCCATTAGGATAGTTATAGCATCATACAAGGGCCACACAAAATTATCAGTACAGGAAATGGAGATATGGCTCATGTGTTAGACCTCCAGTCTTGAGCAGAAAAGCTCAGAGTATGAAACCCTGAATTCAAACCCCAGTTACAGACACCAACAACAAAAAACAGATTGTCAATATAGGCAGATGGTCACAGGCAACTGATAAAAAGCATAGGTATCCGACCTGACCTGCCACAGATCAAATGATTTCACAGGCTTATACCACTCTAAAGCTGGAGGTTCCTCACCCATAGTAGAGGGTTCAGGAGAGAAAGTTAATTAACCTAATGCAGAGAGGTAGAGGAGCCCTGGAGGCTCTGCCCCATGGTGCTCAAGAGGCCACATGAGGTTATGTGATATGGAATGGTACTTACAGAAATCAGAGAAATGAAGCTGGGTGCTGGTGGCTCATGCCTGTAATCCTAGCTACCCAGGAGACTTGAGATCTGAGGATCACGGTTCAAAGCCAGCCCAGGCAAGAAAGTCTGTGAGACACTTATTTCCAATTAACCATCAGAAAGCCGGAAGTGGCGCTATGGCTCAAGTGGTAGAGTGTTCTCCTTGAGCTGAAGAGCTGAGGGACAGGGCCCAGGCTCAGAGTTAAAGTCCCACAACTAATCAAAAAAATAAAAAGAAAGAAATCATAGAAATGAATAAAGCAGGAACTGCCAGGTACCAGTGGCTCATGCCTGAAATCCTAGCTACTCTGGAGGCTGAGATCGGATGATTGCAGTTTGAAGCCAGCTGGGGCAAGAAAGTCCATAAGACTTTCTTTTCTTTTCTTTTCTTTTCTTCTCTTGTTTTTTTTTCTTTTTTTCTTTTTTTTTTGGACAGTCATGGGACTTGAACTCTGGGCCTGGGCGCTGTCCCTCAGCTCTTCACCTCAAGGCCAGCGCTCTACCACTTGAGTAACAGAGCCACTTCCAGTTTTCTGGTGGTTAATTGGAATAAGAGTCTCACGGACTGGGGCTGGGAAGGTAGCTCAGTGGTAGAGTGCTTGCCTTGCATGCCAGAGGCCCTGGGTTCGATTCCTCAGCACCACATAAGCAAAAAGAAAAAAAGCCGGAAGTGGCGCTGTGGCTCTAGTGGTAGAGCGCTAGCCTTGAGCTGAAGAGCTGAGGGACAGCGCCCAGGCCCAGAGTTCAGGCCCCATGACTGGACCCCAAAAAACAAA